AAGGCAGTTACTTGAAAGCCAAATCAAATATGTAATATTTATCAATGGCCAATTACATATGCTTAGAATGTAGATGTAGAAAAACTATTTTCAGCATCGTATACATTCGTTTTTGGAAATAATTCTATTTGCTTGAAAGACAGGTATGGTACAGAGAATAGCAAGCTGAACCGAGAGACTATAGGTAGCCCTCAATATACGACCACAAGAAGCTCAAAATTTCCATTGCTAAGCAAGACAGCTGTTAAGAAAATTGTACCCCATTTTACTTTTTTTTTTTTTGCCATAGTTGTTAAGCAAATCAATGCAGTTATTAAGTGAATCATGTGGTAAAGGAAATCTGGCTTTCCCCACTGATTTTGCTTGTCAGAAGCCAGCTGAGAAGGTTACAAATGATGATCGCATAACACAAGGACACTGCAACTGTCACAAATACATGACAGTTATCAAGCTCCTTGATCACGTGACCATGAGGATCTGCAACATCCTAAATGCGAAAACCAGCCATAAGATATTTTTTTCAATGCCATTATAACTTTGAATGGTCACTAAATGAATGCTTGTACGTCAAAGACTACCTGTACTTCACATTCCAATTCATTTAATAGTATCACCTTCTGTCAATCCTCTCTGCTTACCTATAAACAGAACAAAGGCCTTCTAGGAGTAGATTCTGAACCGTAGAGATTGATTGAGATTAACGGTGGTTATTATGTAAGAGATTGTAATATTAATATTACAATTATTCATAGATACTGTGCCCTTACCACAGTGAGACCTATAGAATCAACAGACAATATCAGCCTTTGCTTTTATCCACAATTCACTAAGTATATCATAACCTCTGAAAAAGTATTAAGCAGGCAATGTATTAGCTATCAACTAACAATGCATTGTACTGCAGCGATAAAAACAAGGTTATAAGGCAAGGTACACTAGATCTGCGAAATAATTTCCAATAATATGTGATGCAATCTCCAAGCTATTTTTATTGAAAAATGGGATAAACATAGTTCAAGTAAATAACTGCATTCAGTTTCTAAGTTTTCAGAGTCCAAAGTTTGAGAATTTTCACCAGTGTTTTAAACTATTTGGATTGCCTGGGCAGCACTGAGTGAAGAGGAATATTCTTTTGCCACATATAAAATATACAGTATAATATAGTTAATGTATGTAAAAAACAAACTTCCTTTAAAAGTCTTGTGGGCTTCATTACTAAATATCTAGGACCAAGGGTTGGACACACCTGTTTTGAACAGTTTAAATTTTCAGGCATTAAATGGTCTGAAAAATGCACGGCTGTATTTAAAATGGAACTAACAATTTTATTCTTCTCAAAATACATTAAGTTACATTTTATAAAAAGTTAAAATTCAGCATAAATTTTAAAGGAAAGTATTTTAACAAATATTTGCTTTATATAATATCTAAGGACACTTGCAACTACATTATTTAGCAACTATAAATTTTAGAATGATGCACAGTTTTTACAGTAAAATTGGGTATCATTAAATTATTTTACTATAAAAAATAATATAGTAACCATGCCTATGATTTTCATTACAGGAAAATTATAAGTGATATATGTTTCCTGGAAAAATACACAGAAATATTTCCTGCTGTCAGTTTGTATGTCACAGTCTTTCAAAAATATAAAGCAGACTAACTTATAACATTAAGTTTTTTCAAATACATTGAAATCTCAAGCAATAATAATATCAGTGATTCCCTCCCCCCCCCCCCATTTTGAGAGCTTCTTTAAAGCTATATTTTTTAAAAGTGTTGTAGAACAACTTTCTCCTCTTAATACAATGGAAAATTAAACACAGTACTATATGACTTATATAAACAATATTCAACGAAGGGTAGGGATACCATGTTTAGGGTATTTGAACTGGATTAGCACAGTAAGTACTTTCAGAAAGCTATTTGCTTTAGAAAGAGACTACAGAATGACTGGTTAAACCATACTGAACTACAAAACAGATTACCACTTTTAGCCTAGTGATTTGTGCCGAGATGTATAGTTTATTAGTTTGCCATGCACCCCATGTAATTAGACCATAGACCATAGATAAATTCTAGTTTCTTAGTGTAAGTAATTTATATGATTAGATAATTTTATATCTATTTTCTTAATCCTCACTAAAATATCAACAGAAAGGATACAATATGCAATATTTTTTCTTATAATGGTCTAAAGTATTTCACATTCTAGTTTTCAAATTTTTATTTATTTATACCCCACCCTTTATTATTACAAATAACTCAAGGCGATGAATATATCCAACACACCTTCCTCCTGTTTTCCCCACAACCACCACCCTGTGAGGTTAGTTGGACTGAAAGAGAACGACTGGCCCAAAGTCAGCCAGCTGGCTTTCATGCCTAAAGTGGGAGTAGAACTCAAGGTTTCTAGCCCCTCTCCATCTTTCTAGCCTTGATGCCTTAACCACATACCTTGTTTTATTGTGGTTCATTGAGCTTTAAAGACACTGCATTATTTTTTATCAAGACTTTCCACCAACAAAAACGTTACAATTCACTGAAGGCTCCAACAATACTCAGTAGGCATTTTTCAGCAATGAAGTGTTTTAAATTACTTTAGTTAAGATATGTGCATTGCTTTTTTAGATACAATATTATTATACACTTAATAGACTAGAGTATGTATTCATTCATTCATTCATTCATTCATTCATTCATTCCATAAAATGTATTGGCTGCTCACCTTGCCATAAGGTAATTCTGTGTGGCTTACAGTCATAAAAGTATACATATGCATATTTTGCCCATACATATACAATTTAAACATACATAAATTAAAATCAAAAATTAGTGGGAAGGGCAGGAGCATAATGGGGGAAGGTGGGATCTGTTTTTACTAGATCAACCACCTCCACTGTGCTATTCCCAAGCCAACTGTCAGAAACATTTAGGCCTTTATAAAAGGATAGGAGGGTTGGGGCCAACCTCACATTGGAGGGGGAGGGAAATGTTCCAGAGGGCAGGAGCAACAGCAGAGAAGGCCTTCTTCCTGGATCCTGCTAGCTGGAAAAATCAGGCTGATAGGACCCGCAGCATGCCTCCTCTGCTGGTATGGGTGATATACCATACCCAGTGGCCAATCCCAGTGGGGTGAAACAGTCCCTCAAGTAACCTGGACTCTTGCCATGAAGGGCATGGCAATGGACACGAACAATTTGAATTGCACCCAGAAGCAGACTGGCAACCAATGCAGCTCACAGAGCAGTGGTATTACAGGGACCATTACTGGGGCTGCCAAAACTTCCCATACTACCCCACTTGGCACCAGGTGTAGCTTCCAAATGCTCGAGGTATTCCCATGTAGAATGCAATGCAATAATCCAACCGCATAGTGTAGTGTAAAAATAACTTTTATATGCACTGCAAAACCAAAAAAAAAAAAAAATGCATGTGACTCAGTTTATTGCGATGTAGCTCTGACCTAAATATTTATATTTTCTAACCAGCCACGTTCACATTTTTTATATTCATTACGCCCTTTAGTCTCCCAAGCACAAAGATGGCTGGATGCATTTGAAAGAATGATCAAGGTGAAAATGTCTTCCTTCTGTATACCAAAAATAAAGTCACGTTTTCATGCTTTGGCCATCTATTACATTTGAATGCAGAACCTCCTAGGTTTTTTGAAGAAGACAATATCATTATGACAAGAAAAGTCCTCTCCCATGTCCGATTTTGATACTGTGTAAACATTGCATCCAAGTATAATGGAATAGATACGATCATTGGTTGCAAACCCAAGCACTTCTATACTTGGATCATTAACGTTTCACTCTGACCAACTGGAAACAACTGCAATACATCCAGGATACAGAACAAGGGTCTATGAATGAACATTAACAATGTTAATATACCAACATCAGCATTAGCCTGCACTTCAAGATGCAGGGGGGAAAATACTATATTTAAACAAAAGCTATTTCAGTGTGTTTCCTTGAAACATACTTCTTCCTGACCAAATGAGAGAAATCCTATACAACTGGACAGCAGGAATCACTCTCTTGAATTATATAATCCCTGAGATCAGGTCATATGACAAGATACCTCGCTATTACTAAGCAGAAACACCAAAGTTTTTCCTCCTGAGCGGCTCCCATTTTTTTCCTTCCTTCCAACAAGCACATCCTTCCAAGAACGGGCATGCATTTTGGGTGTGTGCAGATGCATCATATCATATACACTGCTCCGGTTGAAGTACCTTTTTGTCTTCATGGAAGGCAGGTTGAAACAGTTTCTCAGGCGAAGGATATACAACCACCATCTGCCCTTTATAAATAAGCAGAGTTTTTAATGCCACCACTTGAGGCCTGTCCAAAGGCATCCAAGAGACCCTTCCACAGACAATCAGGGTCCCAGAAAGACAAGCTTTCCCTCCCCTCTCCTGCCCTCCATATAATCAGAAGGGCTGAGCCTTCTTCCTGCAGATGCTCCCGGCTTTTATCCTCCTCCTTTCAACGAGACAGGTTGCTGTCGTTTCCCGCCCTCCATATAATGTATGTATGTATGTATGTATTTACTCTCCTCACAGGTACGAAAGGGCGGACATCTTCATCCAAGCAACTCCCGACCCGTATTCACCCTTCTCCCCCCCCCACAACCGTACCTAAATCCTCCTTTTAGGTAACAGAAGCTGCTTCTTCCCTTGCAAAGGTTGGAGCGCCTGCAGGGGAAATAAAGGGGACCCTTTCCCCCCAGTCTGCTGGGGGGGGAGGGGAGACAAGTCGCTGCCCCCCCCCTTTTCTCTCGCAGCGCTCATGGAAGGGCTAGGCCCGAATGCACCGGGCCCTCCAATGCTGGAACCCCCCTTACGCATACAGGTCGACGTAACCTCTGTGGGATGGTCAGGCCTTACGCAAATCTACCAGTGGACCCCCCCCCCCCGCCCCTCCTCCGGGCATTGCCTTGGCGACACCCGAAGAGGCAAAGGACGGGGGCCTCTTCGGCCACATTACCTCACTTCTCGCTTTCACCTGACCCGCGAAGCCTCTAGGACTCCCGAGCAGGTTCTCCCCGCGTCGCTCCTGCCGGAAGTACGTGCCGGAAAAGAAGCGTCCTCCTCTCCCTGTGTGTGTCTCTCTCTCTTGTGTGTCTCTCTCGCCGCTGCCGCTGCCACCGTTGTTACCACACACACCAGGCGTTGTCCGGAACTAGCCGGCGATCGCGTGAGCCCATGGGACCTGTAGTCCGCTTCTCAGAAAAACTACAGGTCCCGAAAAGCTTTGCGAGGGCTCGAGCAAAAAAAAAGAAAGAAAGAAAACGGGGCGGGAAGAGGAGTGGGGGGGAGAAAAAGAGGCCGCGCGGCAAGGCGAGCGGAGAGGGGGAGGAGCCGGCGAGAGAGAAGGCGAATTAGAAGCCAGAGTGGAAACGGTGGGCGGGGCTTTGACCGTATGAGGGAAAAAGAGGCGGGGCGAAGGGAAAAAAGGATGGGCGGGGGAGAGTAAAACTCTTCGGGCGCTACAAGACGCGACAGAAGCGATCCTGGAGGCAGCGGTCTCGGGTCCTCCTCGCACAGTTTCAGCGCAAGGGACGGGTTGAGGTTGGCGGCTTCGGCAGCCGCACCTGAACCCCCTTTGCGACTTGACACCAGAGGGTTTCTGTCGGACAGGTAAGCCCCGCCAGCCGTTCCTGCACCAGCACAGCTCCTCCTTGGGTGCCTTGGCTTGCGGTGAAGCAGCTCCGGTTGGGGAACGCTGGAGCGCCCATCTCGCGTTGTGCAGCCTTTTAAAAAGGGGATCCTTTTCAAATAAAAAAATAATAACAATAAAATTCCCATCGCTCGGTAAACGAAGTACAACGTGTGTCCTTTTAGGAGAGCTTTCCGCTTTATTCACAAAAAACACCTTGCTTTAAAAAAAAATCTCAGTACCTTCTATTTCAGCTCCAAATGTATTTAGGGGGAGAGAGAGAAAAAAATCCACATTGCAATATTTGGGAAATTCTCTATCACTTGATCATGATAGTCCTTTTGGGTTGATTGTTTTTCTCCTTTGTTTCTGCCTTTCTGCGAGGTATCCAGGTATTGGCTAGATCTTTTCCCACATGTATGTTGCATAAATTCTTCTGAGCAAGGCTTGATACTTTTTCCTGACATTTTTACAAATACCTGTTTTCACTAGAGGATGAGACACAATTAGGTTTTTAACTGAAGACCCTGTGAGTTTCATTCATTCTCTTTTTTCTTCACATGTGTCCTTTGCCAGGGCATCCTAAACAATTGTAACACCGGAGCAGAACTTTAAAATGCATACTTTTAGTACTGAGGATTGGCCTTTATGGGTTAATATAAAGATAAATGATTGCTTATTGTATCCTGTAACATTAACAGGAGTTGCAGTTAGTGCAATAAATCCCTTGAAAGTTTTATGTTGATTGTCTGACCATTAACATGATCCCTTGTGAATTGTGTATCTCCCTCTTTATTAGAACAAGCTAATTTTTATGTATTGAAGTCATTGGGAATGTTGTCATTGTTTTCATGTGAACTTGAAATGTAAATTTCATGTTTAAAAAAAGTGGGGGGGGGGAAATGACCTGTCCGTTATCAAGATGTGGATGAAGAAATAAATTTGAGTCTTTCTGATTAGCATTGATTTGGTTAATCTTATGTGAATTGCATAGTACTGGTATCTGTGTAAATCTGTGCAATGACTACTCTGCACAATAAGATATTCCAGAAACATTTCTTGAGAAGAGCATTCAGTTTCTTCACTTCAATTGACTCTACTTACTTCAATGAGGAATGTAGAAATGCCTAATTGTCTTTTTAAACTGCAGGCTGAGATCTGTGTGAATAAGACTTCAGCTCTGTAAAGAACAACAATCTAGTCTGGCCCTATACTAGGAAATTTATTTTTTTCTACCCCTAGAATGTTGTCAGATTGATCTGAATACCTGGTTCTTTTTTTAAACAAATGTTGTCTCCTTAACATATTGCAATTCACATTTCCCCCTCCGCATGTAATAACAGTTAATAAAACCGCATCTTAATATTACACTATGTAAATTTAATTTGTGGTCTGTAATAGAAATATATAGAAGGGAAAGGTGTTTTTCAGATTCTTAAATGCCAGCATGTCATTTTATATCAGTTCATTTTAAATTCTTACCAGTTTTCTAGGTGTCTAGAAAACCAGGTGCAGGAATGTTTGTATCCCTGATTATTTACTTCCAAATTGAAGTTCTGCCAAAATAAAATTACCATCTGGCTTATCTGTCTTTACATGACAATAAAAGCTTCAGTAGGATTTAGTTTCAGTGAGAATACCTATAACATAAACCATATAATCCTGAAAATATTTACTTACAAAGAAATATTTCTAAAGTCTATGATATATGGTCACTTATGGGGTATATTTATTACTGCATAAAAAGAAAGCACATATATACTTACTTACTTTAAAATAACTGATTTGTGAATTAAAACACATTCTAAGCATTTGGGCTTTTTGTGGCTATGTAATTGCTTATGTGATATGATGTGATCCATATTTCCATTCCAGGCTTTGCATATAATGTAAGTCTATAGGTTTAATTTCATTCTTATATGTGGTTTAGATAATGCTCTTTATAGTTCATCTCATGCCTGTCATGCCATTGATCTTTCATTCCGAAGAATTTGATGAAAATTAGGATCTACGTTGGGGCCAAATAAATCACATTGTGGCACAACAACAACCACATCTTTTTTCAGGATCACATAGCTGTTTTAATGAGCCACAGGAAAATACTGTGTTCGCAATCCTAGGCATTCTGAAATAGTTTTTTATAAATAAATCTGAAGCTTTATATATCCATATTTTATCCAGATACATATTAAGCTAAATCTATCTCCTGATTAAAACAATCTTTTTTTTTAGGTTTCTTTTAAATCTCTCCTTTATTACTTTATAAGTAACTCAAAATGGAGAACATACATCATTCTCCTTTCTCCTCCTACAACAATGCTGTGAGATGAGAGAGAGTGACTGGCCCAAAAATTATCCAGCTGGCTTTCATGGGACTAGAACTCGCAGTTTCCTGATTTCTAGGCTGGTACTTTAACCTCTAGACCAAAGTGGCTTAGCTAGGATATGACCACAGATCAGTTAGATCTGCACCTATAATGAGAAGCACTGCTTTCCTTTTCATATTAGACATGGGGAAGGTTTGCTTCTGTATGTGGGTATATTGTGTATTGTGGGTGTCATAATGTGGCAGGAAGATTTGTAGCCCGAGTTTTAAGATCATCAGTTTTTCTTCTTTCTGTTATCTTTTCTTCCCTTGCTGAATGGAATAGGTAGGGAAAAGCAAGTACTTTACAAGAGATCTGAACAGATTATTTGTAGAGGTATTTTGAAATTAACCTGAGAGCCACGTGCAACCTAAAACCATAGGTTGCTCTATATACCATTTTTAATGAAGTTCATGTGTTCTTTAGAAGATGCAAAGAGGCAGCTTACCCTTCACACCAACAGGAAATGTTGTCTTTTAAATGGAAGCCTCATTTTAAATGGAAGCATCGTTCATTTTATTTAAGAAAATCAAAGGCTTGTAACCATTCATTTTTTTAAAAAAAACAAAAGTCTCTGTTGTTAAAGGAAATATTTATAACTAACTTGTAAACTAGACTTTGCAACTACAGGTTAAAGATCTGTAGTTTCCCATAACTTACTCATTCTGTGTCCGCTTTTATGTAAGCTATTATTTAGTTATTGCTATGGAATAGGCTGCAAGAGTTTGCATATTACGCTGAACCTTGGCTTTTTCACGATCATAATTGTTTGCATTCATACAGAAAACTGAGACAAACCACATTATGGCTTTGTGAAGAGTATGCAGGAAATTTAACCTATCTGTCCTAGAATTTTCAAAATCATTTCTGGCTCAGGCCAACACCCATTTGAATCTTAGATTCATAGACTAACCAAATGCATTCAAATAGGGGCCGGTCATTACACCTTATGATAATGAATTTCATAGGCTCCTTTTGTGCTGTATTAAGGATATATTCCCTTTTCCCTGTTCTAAACCTTCAGCTTTATTGGAGAACCCATGCATTTAGCATTTTAAAAGAGAAGAACAAAACCCAAAGAGTTTCAGTCCCCTAGTAATTCAAGTGGCACTTTGTCCAATTGTGATGTTGATGCACATTGCTCTTCTGTTCACTATGTCCATCAAATTGTTTGTAGTTACATAGTATAGTAGTAATAAAAGTAGTTTACATAGTAAAAGTAATCACATAGAATAGAGAAAGTTTCTGTGCATCAGAACAGTGTGTTGCACTGCATGCAGCAGTGTGTTGCTTCACTAGATGGTTGATGTAGAAAGAAACGTCTGGAAGTTGTGATGTACAATGAGATGTTCTTCAGACAGTTTTCTGCATTATAGCTCCTATATAGTTTTACCTTTATCACAGGAGGAATAAAATTACAAGCACCATCTAAAGCATGTTACTCCCTCCCACACTTTTTCTTTTGCAGAACTAAACCTCTTTCTGTTAAATTAGAGCTTGCTCCATCCAAAAAGCTGAGAAGACTGTAGCCAAAACTGCAAAGATTGAAGATGATGTACTCACTGTAGATGGGCAAGCATGAAAATATAAGAAATTGGCATATCCGTTTTATATTATAGTTGCGGTTTCTTGAATGAACCATAAATTAGGCTGAGCTAGTTTAGTAGATCTCTCATAGCAGAGATTGCACGAGAAACTTTGTTTCTGAGATTTTACCTCAGGATGTTGTCCAATGATGTCATCAGAGCTGCTCAAACAAATCTCTTGGTCCAATTCAATCAACAGGGGAGCTGGTCTAAATGCAATGAGTGATTTTAGTTTTCCCAAGGCTTAAAATGTCTAATTTGTTCTCTGAATTTTCTCAGGCTGAAAACTTGATTTGAATGTTTATCATGCCAATGATACTATGAGGAGCAAATAGAAGAGAATGTGGGACATAGGCTACCAGTGTCTGATTCACTTCACTAAACCACTAAATTAATAATTCCTTAATACTAAGAATACTTCTCCTTATATTTTTTTCCTGCTGAAGAATAGATTACAGTACCTAAACTCCTGAATTATTATCATTATTGGAACATACTTTAGATAACCCTGAATCTATCGTACTCTTTACAAGCAGTTAATGGAGATCCATCTCAGTAATTACCATTATCTGCAAAGACTCTGGTGTAAAGAGTTAGTAAAACCTAGATTAGCAAATCAATAGCAAAACGTCTTTAAATTATTGAGCACATTTCCTACGCTCTTCAAACAAGTCTAATTTAACAATGATTATTTTTCATGTTTACTAACTCCCCAGAGAATTAAAAAGGATTAGTTATTAAATTGTGTTAGAAGTAGAAAGTGGGAGAAGTGACTCTTTTTTTCTGGGCTTGTTCTATAATCTGGTTTGATATCCATAAGATTGTTCATGTGGCTGTCATGAAGATCATTATACTTTTAAAAATGCAAATGTAGTTTTGACTTACATACTAAAACGTGGAATGTATCACTACATGCAGAATAATAGATTTCTGAAGCATGGAGGAGAGCAGAGATGATCATTGTTCATCATTACAAGTATAACACTACCCTAGATTAATAGTCTTGACTGATGTATATATATATATTTG